GTTAATAAATTGTGCAATGTGTGATGCTTCGATATTGTCATTTTCCTGCTAGGCCTGCATTTCATTGGCTGTCGTTTGGAAGGAAAAGAGAAATGCTAATGCAATAAAATCATGTCCCAGTTTTTATTGCTCTATATTACTGGGCAAATCAGACAACACAAGACATACTTACAGGCTCACAGTACTGGCAAAGCACAGCCCTTTTGCCCAGCAGCCCTCCAGCCTCCTAGGATGCTCGTTGTCACCACCGCCAGCATGCATTTTTCTTTGAGGAGCTAGCTGTGCACACTTCAGAACGAAGTGATGGGCTGCATCCACTCGTCAGGTGTATTCTCTAAGAATGCCTCTAAGGCCATGTCAGGGTATCTGCAATACAGATGGAACTAGAGCCCAGTACATTGATTCACTGTATTCTCAATTATTATTTTTAAATTAATTTTTTTTAAATCAGAAGCAACAGGACTGTTGTGAGCACTGCAGGAGGTGTCCAAAGGTGTATTAGTGCCCAAACTTTCCTGGCCATGCCAGAGCAAAGAATGATTACCTCATACCAGTGACATCTGTGCAACCAGAGCCAAGTCACAATCCAGCAAGGGTTGTGTAATCCCTTTACCTAAGCCCCAAGTCTCAGCCCCCAGGTAAAGCACAGGAACTACCTGGATTCAAATGTACCAATCAGCACCTGCAGCAGGAATTCCGAATGAATAAATGTCTGTCATTGCTATTTGGTCATTGAAGGCATAAAAAGGAACTGCACCATGTGTTCTTGGTGGATTGCCCTTTTGCTTGTGATCAAACCTATTCTTGAGAATAAAACTTAGATTCTTTTCCTCTCATTCTTGCTGTGCTTGATTGGGCTTGTGCACCAAGGCCGGACCTCTTCTGTCCTTCACCTAGAAATGGCATATCATAGACTGCTTGGAAATTAATATAGTGAGGTCCAGGGAAGTTTTCTTAACAAACGTCTTACTACACAGGGTTTTCCAGGGTTTTTTCATCCAGGAACTTGCTTTGCTTTAGCAGCACAATCACCCAACTCAGTTCGGGCAATTATGAAGCATGTTTAGCTTGAAGAGAACA